GGGGAAAGGGACAAGATCTCTTGAGCATATTGGGAGAGGGGGGGAGCAGTGAGTGGAGAGGAAGCTAGGAGAAAGAGAATGGGAGGAGAGGAAAGCACGTTGGACTAGGAAGATTGAGTCAGGGGAGGAATAGATGAGAGAAGAGAGAGAGCATAAAAGAGGGAGCCATTATAGGTTTGAAGAGAAAACTCAATCTAGATAAATGTCCAGGGACCTACAAGACTGACCCCAACTAACAATTTGAGCAACAGTGGAAAGGCTACCATAAATGCCCTTCGCTGATAATGAGATCAATGACTAACTTACCCACCATCATAGAGCCCTCATCTAGTAGCTGATGGAAACATAAGCAGACACCCACAACTAAACACTGAGCCGAACTGGAATCCAGATGCAGAGATGGAGGACAAGACCAGGCTGCAGAAACACATAAAGACAGCTGACCTGAACAAGGAGGAGCTAATGGGTCCCCAGATTGATAGCTGGGAATCCAGCATGGGACTGACTCAGACCCCCTGAACATGGGTCTCAGATAGAAGGCCTGCCCAGTCTAAGGGACCTCAGACAGTAGAAACAGGATGTGTCCCTGGTGCACAAAAGGACTTTCGAAGCACATTCCCCATGGAGAGATACTCCCTTAACCTAGGGACAGGAGAGAAGACCTAGTCCCTACTCCAAATGACTTGACAGATGTAAATGAACCCTCCTGGAAGGCAATCACCTTACCTGTGGATTGTGGGGGGGGATAGGAGGGGAGGACAATCAGGGGACATGGGAGGGTGGAAGAGAGGGGAAGAGGATGGAGGGAGAGGGAACTGGGTTCGATATGTAAAATTAAAATTAAAAAAACAAAACAAACGGCGCTGGCATAACTAAATGCTGGTGTAAAAGACTGCAGATAGAACTATGTCTATCACCATGCACAAAATTTAAGTCCAAGTGGATCAAAGACCTCAACATAAATCCAGCCACACTGAACCTCTTAAAAGAGAAAGTGGGAGGCACCTTGAACAAGTTGGTACAGGAGACTGTTTCCTGAACATAACACCAATAGCACAGATACTGAGATCGACAATTAATAAATGAGACCTCCTGAAACTGAGAAGCTTCTGTAAGGCAAAGGACACAGTCAACAAGACAAAACAGCAGCCCACATAGTGGGGAAAATACCTTCACCAACCCCACATCTGACAGAGGGCTGATGTCCAAAATATACAAAAAGAACTCAAGAAGCTAGTCACCAAAACACCAAACAATCCAATTAAAAAGTGGGGTACAGAACTACCTAAAGAATTTTCAATAGAGGTATCCAAAATAGCTGAAAGACACTTAAGAAAGTGCTCAACATCCTTAGCCATCAGGGAAATGCAAATCAAGGCAACTCTGAGATACCATTTTACTCTTGTCAGAATAGCTAAAATTGGAAACACCAATGACAGTTTATGATGGAGAGAATGATGTGGAGAAAGGGGAACACTCCTCTACTGCTGGTGGAAGTGCAAACTTGTACAACCATTTTGGAGATCAGTATGGCAGTTCCTTAGGAAAATGGAAATCCAGCAATTCCACTCTTAGGCATATACCCTAAAGATGCACATCCATGCAGCAAAGACCTCTGTTCAACTATGTTCACTCCAGCATTATTTGTAACAGCCAGAACCTGGAAGCAACCTAGATGCCCCTCAACTAAAGAATGGATAAAAAAAAAAACAAAAAAAAAAATGTGGTACATTTACACAATAAGTACTACTCAGCAGAAAAAAAAACAAAACAAACAAACAAAAAAAGAACAATGGAATCTTGAAATTGGCAGGCAAATGGATGGAACTAGAAGAAACCATCCTGAGTGAGGTAACCCATTCACAAAAAGACAAACATGGTATGTACTCGCTCATATATGGATTTTAGATATAGAGCAAAGGATAACCAGCCTACAATTCACACTGACAGAGAAGTTAGGAAACAAGGAGGACCCTAAGAGAGACAAACAGAAAGAGAAAGGACAAGATCTCCAGAACATATTGGGAGTAGTGGTGGAGGGCAGTGTGTGGAGAGGGAGAAAGTGAAGGGGACAAGAGGAGGGGAAAGGAGAACATGAGGGAGCAGGAAGATTGAGTTGTGGGAGGAATAGAGGAGAGCAAGAAAAAAAGATACCATAATAGAGGGATCCATTATAGGTTTGAAGAGAAATCTGGCACTTGGGAAATGTCCAGAGATCTACAAGGATGACCCCAGCTAACAATCTGAGCAACAGTGGAGTGGCTACCTTAAATGCCCTTCACTGAGAGGGATAAGATAGAGCTCAGATGATGGCCTTTACCCTCCTTCAGTAGGAACACACCAACTGACTATAATGTGCTCTTTAGCGGGGGCTGTAGTATGCATACTGCTCCCATTAGAGAGACACCCTGAGAGTCTGTATAAGAGTCTGTGAGTCTTTGAGGTCCCTGCTTTATGTCTGTATGCTTCACCATTAACTGCTTCAATTCATGTATCCCAGTCGTTTTTCTCAAACAGCCATTAGCTGAAATCCCACTTTTTTCCTTCTGGGCATTTTCTTGCATGTATAATCAGATTGTCTGCAGCAATGACATAAGCATTGTAACATTCATTTCCCATGAACAAACATGTTAGTAGGAATGATACTGTTTGCCTGATGGAATTGTCTTCTATGGCCATAATAGAATCAAGTGTGTATCATATGTGCTAAGCACAGACCCTACCACTGAGCTACAGCACCAACCTCATGCTGTAGTTAAGATATCTAAAAGTGTGTTCATGGGCAAAAAGATTATAGTTTTTAACTGCTTCAACCCAGGTGCACAGTTCATATTCTGACAGCTTGTCCACCAGCTCACGTCTGCCTCCTGCTCTTACCACATATTATCTGCTCCAAGAAGTTCTGCCTTGTTTTGATACATTCTCATTTTCATCTTTTTTCTGTGGCTCCTCATGTAAGTTGGATTCAATTGGCATCTGCATACATTTCTGACCCTGCATCCTCCTACAAGTGGCTCACTCTCTACTCCATCCAAGCCTTTCTTCTGACTATACCCTTTGTCTCTCTCACCCACTCCCAAGCTACAGGCCTTGTTTATTGTTGACTTCTATGCTCAGGACTGCTTCCCACGAACATTCATAAACTTCCTTGCTTCGCTGCCTCAAAATCCTCTTCCCAGAAGGGCTTTCTAGTCCATAAGGGGGTTGGCTTACAGTCTACAAGTTACACCACCAGCTAGTCAGTGCTTGTATAGATATTTACTCTTCCTTCTTGAAAGATTTTATTTAGAGCCTTAATATTTTTCTGAATATTTTCTTTCTACTTATTATGAAACTATTTGCAGCAACAAATGTTGAATTAACATGTACATTTAAATTTTAATTACATTCTTATCTCTCTCACCCCTCTCTCTCTCTGTGTCTCTCACTCTCCTTCTATCTGTGTGTGTGTGTGTGTGTAAGCAACCAAAATGCATGAATTAATTTTCTCCTTATCATGTGGGACCTGGGTTTCAAACTCAGGTCTTCAGCCATGGTAGCAGGCACCTTTATCTATTGAGCCCTGTTGCCAGTCCTGGAATAGATTTATTTTTATTTAAATGAATCAAATGTGTGAGCAGCAGGCACTACTAACATGATGGTGATGTGCCCCAATGAAGCAGAATGAACTTTACATGTTTGCTGGGGCACATGTACACCCATGACCTTCAGCAATCATTATTTCCATAGGAGTACCAGATTGACATTCCAGAAAACTGTCTTTATTCTAGACATAAGAGCATCTGATTCTTTTTTTTTTTTTTTTAATCAGTGCACACTTGTTTATTTTAGTAAAATCAGGCAATGACTGACAGCACACTGCTTATGGAAGGAACACTGTTAAACTTGTCTTACACGATGCCTTGCCTGGACAGCTATAGTCTGCCCCAGAAAGATCAACGGCCACATCAACCACTTTTCAGACCTGATAGTTTTGCTGCTTCAACACCTGGGTTCACATATGCTTAATGCTCCCCCCAAAAAAACCCAAACCCAAAAACCCTTGCAACACAACAAATTGCCTTTATTTCGGTATGCATCCACATTTCAACAATTAGTGGTCCTGAATAGAGTGGGGAACATGGCAACAAGCCAGAAGACCAGGCCCACCGATCTAAAAAGATCTGAAAACTTGAGACACAAAGCTCTTCCAGGTCCCTGATGAGAGTCTGAAGAGCAGCAACACTGAAACCTGAGTCCACAGGGTCAGGGGCCTTTGTTCCAGCTGTCAGGTTCCATGTCAGACCTGGTGGGTGGCCAGGGAGCCCTGTACAAACCATTTCAGTGCGTAAAAGCAAAGTGATTATGAGAAAAGGAACTGACTAGGTACCCTGCGCGCTGAGGACCCTATGCACGGCCTTTCTCTAGGCCCAACCAAGGACCCTGAGCGCTGGCAGGTTTGCTGCCCGTGACTGACTTCTCTGTTCACCTTGAGACCTGAGCTCAAAGTGCATTGCCTGATGGTGGCAGCAGGGCCCAGGACCCAGAACCCCTTCCCAGGCTGGTGGCAAGTGAATATGTGGCCAAGAGCTAGAGGGAGGCCAGGCTTTTCCAAGCTCATCTCACAGCTTCTGGCCTCAGCAAGTGGGGTGGTGATGGGCAACAAGGGAGTCGAGGAGAAGAAGAGTAGCACCCCTTGATAAAGGTGGGGAGATGGGAAGCCCTGAATTCCTTACCCATGGCCAATTTCAGAGGGAGAGGAGTGTTACAATTTAAGCTTTGGCCAAGGGCGGGAGTGGGGGAGCGGAAGGAGGAGGCAATGGCTTGGATGGGGCATCACTTAAGACTTAAGAAAGCAGGGGTGAAGCCAAAGCACCCCCAAGCCCAGAAGGAGACCCATGCCTGCTACCTGAAGCCTTCCCATCTATTCTAAGGGCCACCACACAGCTGTGGTAGGAGGGCGAGGCGGGCAAAGGCAGATCCAGGCCATGTGTCATCAGCAGGTGATTGTGTGACTTGTCTGTTCACAGTTGCATTACTTGTGCCCACCGCTCCCAAAGGAAACCGATTTCAACACACCTTCTTGATCCCAGAAGTTCAACTAGGCAGCCAGCAGTTACACCCGGCAGATGTTACACAGCACAACTTAGGTATTTCAAATGGACAAGAAATTAGTATCAGAACAGTGTCTCAGGATGAAGTCCGAGTGGAGCTTCCTCTCCAGTACTTTGAGGTCTACAAGACGAATCTAGAAAATTCACTACTGTGGAAAATGAAGACTTAGGTTGGACTGGGGAGGGGAGGCCCGGGCCTCGGTAACTAATTGCTGTAACACTGTCCTTCCGGTGGCTGTGGCAGCTTCATGTTCTCTTTTGACATCATCAGGCGCCAAAGCTCCTGCAGGATGACTTTGATGCTGTGGGAATTCTGCCACTTTGCCAGCACGGCCGTGGCCCTTGGATCCACCACTCCATTTGAACTACTCACGCCGCTCATATTCACTTTTGTTACAAATCTTACAGATGGGGGTGCTTCTGGATATTTAGGTCCACATTCTATTTTTTAAGGCTGTATATTCGGTTTTCATAAATTGTTCTTGGAGGCCCAATTATCATCCCTGTCCATCTCGTAAGTGTCATGTCTTCATCGTCCTCTAGACCCCAGCTAACTGTGCCATCGCCTACTCCTTTCTGGCCTTCTTCCAGCTCTTCCAACAGTCGGAAATTTCGAGGGACTTTTACTCCAGAGCCTGTGGTGGCTGCCATCTTGCGTCCGAGCATCTGATTCTTATAAGTCACTTTATATATCTCTAAAACATGAATGTAATTGTGTATGCTTAAATATTTTTGAAATCAAACACTGTTTTGTATTGTTCAAGTGGGGAATCCCCAAACTTGCTTTCTGAAGAAGTTTTTGTCTACTTACAAACACTGAAATCACATATTTTCTACATTAATTGTGGTTAGAGATGAACTAAATGAAAAATAATGGTAATCAATAGAAAACACAAGCTTTGAACACCATGCCAATCAATGGAGGACACAAGCTTTGAACTTGTTAGAAATGAAGGTCGTGGGGGCAATCTGCCAAGCTTCATTGGGAGTGATCACTCCTGATTTTGAAAGAGACTACTGCTAAATTAACCATTCTCTGCCTTGCCCAGGGGTGGAAATGCCCTTTGTTCTGAGCTATAAATATGTTGAAGAGGAAATCTGGAGCTTCAAAGCTTCATTTGGTTGCCTACATTCGTTTCCTGAAGTACTCTGTGCCCTCTCTCTAAACTCCCCATTGGTTTTCAAAGTTAACTGTATTTTCTTTTTCTTCACATTTTCTCATTGCCACATTTTTATGTGGGATTGTTAGAGGCATAAGAATGTTATCTTTCTTGTGACTTTAACATACTATAAAGAAAATGAATGACAGATATTTGCTGCCCACATAAATGATGTGCCAATAACTAAGTAAGAATCCTAAAGATATGGTGATAAACATACACTATAATGTTTTTAAGGGACTGAGATATAGCAGGACAGAAATAAAGGGTTGGAAATGTATGGAGTTCATATGTAGGACTCCATGTTAAGCAAGCATGAGGTCCTACATTCAATTGCCAATGGTCGTGTGCGCGCACACACACATACCACTACACATGCACATAACATACATATGCACAGTGCATATATACACACCATGTACATATACTCAAATTATATATGTACATACTACATACACACACATCACATGTATGTATTCACCACATAGAAACACATACATGCAAGGCAGGCAAACAAAGAGACATACATCATCAAAATAAGCATGATATTGTAATCGCTGAAGTTGAGCCAGGTATGATAGTATATACCTTTCATTCTTATACTTGGTATATGGTCTTGGGAGGCTCAGTAATTAAATGTTATCCCTCAGCTACACAGTGAAGTTTGAGGCCAGTCTGAGCTACATGAGACTCTATGTCAAAAATAAGTGCACACACACACACACACACACACACACACACACACACACACACTGGCTTGCGACATTTTGAAAATCCAAGATTAAGGGTTCTAAAGCACATTTGGAGAAGCCAGGCCAGATATAACGTATCTAGGATAAACTATTGAGTGAAATGACTCCTAACCAACCCAAAAAGGTATAAGACTTAGCATAGTGACAGGCAGAAGAGTTGTTCTGACAGCCTTACTTAAGGCACTTTTAGTGACAAGGAAAAGCAAAGAGCTCATTAGAAGAGCAAATCCTTCTGTGCATTTGGGTTTATGATGATATGTACTGGTAGACAGGGAGGAGACGCTGTGCTCTCCTGAAACACAGCTCCAATGAGCAGACACAGACACAGACACAGAAGTTGATTTCTGTCAATGGCAGTGATGTGGAGGCAGTCTGAGTTCTCACAGACCTTGGCTCTGGTGAAGCAAGGCTTTCTGATTTGGCCACCAGAAGTATTTCAGGCCAAGTTGTGTAGAGCAGAGCTGAAGTTTGTTACAAAGATGTGTCAGTGTAGATTTAAGCATGAAGGTTAATAGAAAAGGAGACCCTCTGGAGCTTCAAGGGGGCATGATGCACTGGACTGTGGGCTTGGACTGGATGGCCTTAAGTGTCCCAGCTGCAGCCTTATAGACAATATTGGTGGCTCTCAAATTAGCCCTCAAAGGAATGCTCAAAACCACCTTCATTTGTTTTTTTACTTTTCCTCTTTATTTTTGATGAAAGAGATTTTAGAGTAATTCCTAAGGTGCCTTGGTTAGGAATATAATTTGCAAAGGTGAAACTATGAGTTACAAAGGAAGTTAGAGCATGTCTTTTAAAGCTAATGGTGGTGTTGTTTTGTAAGAGTCCTACAACAGCCTACATACAGCTAGGTAAGGAGAAAGGCTATGACCTTTGTGTTGAACATAATCAGGGCTGTTCTCCCACCCTAAAACCTCAACAACACACTTCATGAAACTATCTTAAAGGCACACACCCTTTGGGTGAATCACTGTGAGTTTGAGGGCAGCCTGGTCTCAGAGCAAGCTCTAGGACAGGCACCAAAACAGTACAGAGAAACCCTGTCTCATAAAAGAAAACAAGGGGCTGGAGAGATGGCTCAGTAGTTAGAGAGTACTTCCTGCTCTTCCAAAGGACCTGAGTTCAATTCTCAGCAACCATATAGTGGCTCACAACTATCTGTAATGAGATCTGGTGCCCCCCCACACACACAAAATACAATTCTTAATCAGGCAGTGGTGGCAAATGCCTTTAGGCTTTTTTTTTCCCCTTTAAGCCTTTAATTCCAGCACTCAAGAGGCAAAAGCAGAGGCAGGTGGATCTCTGAGAACAAGGGACAGCAAGGGCTACACAAAGAAACCCTGCCTTAAAAACAAAAACCAGAATTCTTAAAAAATTCTTTATTGTGTGTTTGTGCTACATTTGAAGATGAGTTATATAATATTTATTGCTAAGGTATCTGTAGAATCTTTTCTGTTTTAAGCTCCAGTCCTTTTGTACTGTCTGTCTCCCTGCCCATATCCCTCTCTCCTTCTCCCTCAGTGTTGAAGCTTATCTCTCAAGCATCTACTGTCTCTTAATAAATTTAATACTTAATAAATTGGTAGCTGCTGCTTCACTCTGACTTGTCCCGATTACTTTTTTATTGTTGTTGTTTTTCCTGTGTGGGGAAACTCCTCAGGCTGCAGGAGGCATTGACAGTGATCTACCAGCTGCTGCTGCTGACAGTGTGATCCCATGCACCCCATTACCCCTTATTGTCCTCTCCACCTCCCCCTTCCCACTCTCCTTCCACTGTCCCTAATGTTTCTCCTTCTACTTTTGTGACCTTACAATAGAGCTCTGTCAACCCCGGCCATGCCACACAACTGCTACCTATTCTCCCACATCCAAAGAATGTGGGAAAAAAAAATCAGTATTCTCACTGCCTCTTTTCTTTCAGCTCTGTTTGCCCCTCCCTTTTTTTCTTCCAAACTTCTTCGGTACATCACAGAAGAAAACAGCAAAGGGACAAATGGACCTGAATCAAAGATGCTCCGATAGAGAAAGAGCAAAAATCAAGGTTCAAAGTACTGTGGCGTTCGAAGAGGCAGAGAATTCAGTGGCCCACAGACAAATTGTGCCTTGTGGGTTTTTGGTTTTTTTTTTTGGGGGGGTGGTAGAAAAAAGGAGAGAGTAGCCTTGTGAAAAGGGTGAAATAAAGGCTTTTCAGGCTCTCAGGATCCCTTGGAGACTGGGATACTACCCTGGCACAGTTATTAAAGCTGAGTTTTTCAAACTGTTTAGTCAAAAAGGCCACTTAAGTTCAACAATCCACCTACCCCAATGAAGGAGTGTTTCAAAGATTGTAGTTTGAGAAAGGCTATGAATCACTGGCCGGATTTTCAACAAAGATAGCATTTTTCATTAATGCTACTTTTTTAAAATTGTTTTTACTGCTTGCAGCTTTTAGAATACTAATGATGCTCTAAAACATTTAACAAAAACTATTATTTAATGTCATTAAAATAACAACAATTCACAAACCAGAAAAAGTGTTTGTGTTAATTTAGGTCTGAAACTTAGGAAGCCTTGGTCCCGGACAAAGTGTACCTGGATGGATTTGCTTGAGAAAACATAATGTCTAATTTCCTGTGTTTGTACTAAGGGCATTTCTTTTCCTTTTCCTTTTTATATGAGACCATTTTGTGACATGTTTAATATTGATGAGTTTGACCTCCTGGGAGTTATAATATATGCATCCTTTTTAAATACAAATGCTGTCTAATTTATATGGTAAACACATAGAATTTTGGAGATTAGCATTTTAATCAGCTTTAATCTCCGTATTTTCACTTTCCCCTACCTCTCTTTTCTCTGTCCAGAAAGGTCCCACAAACTCACTTTGGGAATGACAGCTAATGTCCTGTTCTTGGCGTTGTGCATGCAACAGGCATAGAGCCTGGGGAAGGAACCTTTCCTGAGTGGCACACTCACAAACCTTAGAGTGTGCAAAGCGATGACCAACGGTTTAAGAAACAGAACATTCCATCCATTCAACAAGTATTTGAACTGGAGCCACACAGAAGCAGGCAGACGTGTGTGTGTGTGTGTGTGTGTGTGTGTGTGTGTGTGTGTGTGTGTTCCTGATATTATGGTACTTCTGACCTGGAATTGAGCTTCAGATTTTCTCTTGTGTTGTTGTTATTATTTTTCTTATTGCTGGTCTGTGAGCTTTGAAGTTTCCAACATACCAGTTCTAGGGCAACATGTTTTATTTTCAAAGTGGGTATTAAGATCCCAGCGATAACCTGACAGGAATAGCCTATGTTCCACGCTAGTCTGGGCTACATACAGACAGCTTTTCCTAACCTCCATCCCCTAATTATCAAGTCCTAGAGATGGAAACGTTTTTCCTTCTTGGTTGCAGGAGGAGCCAAAGGGGGCACTGAGGGGGCGGCGGTGGTGGGCGGGGAGCCAAGACAAGGCTGAGTCCTGCGCAGCCATTGGTGGGGAGTGCGAGCTGAACTGAGCATGTTCGCGCCCGCCAGCCAGGGCCGCAACCACAGCCGCAGGGACGGCAGCCGGGAGAGCCACCGCGCATTATGCAAAGAGGCAGCAGATGTGAGCGGGGCCAGCTGGGCGCTCCTCGGCCTCCTCTGGCAACGGCCGACCCAGCTGCCTGAATTGTCCCGGACACTCCCCTGGCCCTGGCCAGGGCCGAGATGGCCTGAGTACCCCCCAGGCGCGGCGGCGCAGCAGCGGGGTTGAAACATGGGGAACCAGGATGGGAAGCTGAAGAGGAGCGCAGGTGATGCCTCCCACGAAACCGGCGGCGGCGGAGCGGAGGATGCCGCGGGGCCCAGGGATGCGGAAACCACAAAGAAGGCGAGCGGGAGCAAAAAGGCGCTCGGCAAGCACGGCAAGGGGGGAGGGGGTAGCGGGGAAACCAGCAAGAAGAAGAGCAAGTCGGATTCTAGAGCCTCGGTGTTTTCCAACCTGCGGATTAGAAAGAACCTGACCAAGGGGAAAGGTGCCGGCGACTCGCGCGAGGATGTGCTGGACTCTCAGGCCCAGCCGATTGGGGAGCTGGACAGCGCTCACTCCATAGTCACTAAGACCCCGGACCTCAGCCTCTCTGCTGAGGAGACTGGCCTATCGGATACCGAGTGTGCGGACCCTTTCGAGGTGATCCATCCAGGTGGTCCTAGGCCTGCTGAGACTGGGGTAGGGATCCAGGCGACTGCGGAGGATTTGGGAACTGCGGCAGGAGCGCAAGATGGACAAAGGACCAGTTCTGGTTCGGACACGGACATCTATAGCTTCCACTCCGCTACTGAGCAGGAAGATTTGCTCTCAGACATCCAGCAGGCAATTCGCCTGCAGCAGCAACAGCAGCAGCAGCAGCAACAGAAGCTGCTGCTCCAGGACTCCGAGGAGCCTGCAGCGCCCCCCACTGCCATCTCCCCTCAGCCCGGGGCCTTCTTGGGCCTGGACCAGTTCTTGCTGGGACCGAGTAGCGAGGCTACAAAGGACACCGAACAGGCACTACCGGTGAGACCTGACTTGCCTGAGACCACCAAGTCCCCGGTGCCTGAGCATCCTCCCTCCTCTGGAGGCCACTTGGCCTCTGAGACACCCGGCTACGCGACCGCTAACTCCGCAGTCACAGACTCGCTCTCATCTCCAGCCTTCACATTTCCTGAGGCTGGGCCAGGGGAGGGCGCAGCCGGAGCCCCAGTGCCCGAAGCTGGGGACACAGATGAGGAGTGTGAGGAGGATGCCTTTGAGGATGCTCCCCGAGGCTCTCCAGAGGAGGAATGGGTCCCCGAGGCGGGAGAAGCTCCACAGAGGCTGGAGGAAGAGCCGGAGGGGAGGATGCGAGGGGCCAGTGTCTCTGCAGTCGCTTCTTTGCCTGGCAGCCCTGCGCCCAGCCCACGATGTTTCAAACCTTACCCACTCATCACCCCCTGCTACATCAAGACCACCACTCGGCAGCTCAGCTCACCCAATCACTCCCCATCTCAGTCCCCTAACCAGAGTCCTAGGATCAAGAAGCGACCGGAGCCTTTCGTGAGCCGGAGCCCCAGAACTGCCTTGGCCTCTGCTGCGGCCCCAGCAAAGAAGCACCGGTTGGAAGGCAGCCTTGCGGGCGGCCTTAGCCGCTCAGCTGACTGGACCGAGGAGCTAGGCGTCAGTACGCCTGGGGCAGGAGGCTCTGTGCACCTGCTGAGTCGCGGAGCTACTGCGGATGACAGTGGTGACGGGTCCCCTGTGCTGACCGCCCAGGCACCTGGGACTCCAGCGACAACTGATGGCTTTCAGAATGTGTTCACAGGTGAGCACGCCGGCCACGCATCTCCGGGTGGCAGGTCGCCTGCCAATCAGGGCTTTCCTCTGCCACCCCGCCCCCTCCACGTTCTGAAAGGCCCGGCCTGCTATTTGTAGATCCTTTTGCCACCAGGCATGTCTCCTTGGTGAAGAGCCTTGGGTGTGCCTAGTTCTCTATTCTCTTTCAGAGTAGTGAAAAGAAAACATTTGTCCTATGTCATCTGAAGGGAGGACTGTTATGCTCCGTCCCCCCTCCCCATTTCCTCTAGGCGTATTAACCCCTTTTGTGTCTTGTTACCTCTGCGATCCTTCGTGTCATTCTATCATCCCCTTCCACATTTTTACAGTTGTAAAAGAATAGAACTGTGCCTAGACCTTCTCAAGGATTGTATTGCAGGCACACGACATTTATTCTAACACATTCTATAGGTTATGTCTGACCACTTCTAATATAGTTTCTTTCATGTAGTGACCTGGTACTTCGCGAACTTAAGTGATTGCCCTGTTTGCTAATGCAAGCAAGTTTGCTATATGCTCTTAGAAAATGAATAAATAATAGCCTATTAGTAATCTTATTTATTTATGATTCTGAGGATTGAAACTGGGGCCTTTTTGCTTGCTATGCAAGTACTGAACTACTGAGCTGTGTCCCCAGCTTCAGCCCTGGGGCTCTGGCTATGCCCTCCTCTGGCCCAGCCTCAGGAAATGTAAAGAATGGAGATCAAGTCTGTGACTGCAGTGTGTGTGTGTGTGTGTGTGTGTGTGTGTGTGTGTGTGTGTGTGTACTTATTTTGTGCTGAGACTAGAACCTAGAAACTTCTACTTTAACAGTAAGCTACAGCCTTATGCATGGACTACTGAATCATGGCACTGGCTTCCCAAATTTTACTAAGTGATAGGGGATTACTAAGGGGAGAGCGTGGGCTTCAGCTCTGTTGGAAAGCAGTTGCCTAGCATGTGCAATGGCAGGGGCTTTAGTACCATCACTGAAAAAATTACAGTGTGCAAGAATCTACTATCTGTCTGTCTGTCCATCTATCATCTATCTACCTATCATCTATTATCTATACCTAATCTAACTATCAACCATCTGTCTGTCTATCTATCTATCTATCTATCTATCTATCTATCTATCTATCTAATATCTATCATCTATCCAACAATCACACTAATGAAAGACAATTCCCCAGGGTTTCTCAAAGCAGAAATTGGGGTAATAGAACTTGTTAAAGGAGAATTGAACAGATTCCTGACAAACCATAGACCCTAAATATATTGAAGTTTTATTTCCCTTTTACAAAAAGTTTTCTTAAGTCTTGGACATCACTTAATTTTGCCAGTAATTTCAAATTTAAAATGTGGAACTCTTGAAGGTGGTATTCGGTAGCATGTGAGTTTTGTTAGCCTCTTTGGGCAGAGTTTTTTTATTTTGCCTAGTAAAAGTTAAAGCCAGTCACTCTTGTGTGACAGTCATCTGGCATGTGTTAGATGGTTGGAAATGGTTGTCACTGGCCAGCAGGTAGGTTTTTGTGTAGCAGCTTCTTTGGTACATTTCTTCCATTCATTCTATGTTGCTCAGAAAAAAATGAACAAAAAGTAGATTTAACTTAAACTGTGATTAGTGGGGAAGTGGAGATTAAATAACTTTCTCAAGGTCATGCTGTGTGATTCCTTCCAAGGCAAATCTAGAAGAAAACACTACACTATCCACTGAGTCATCCTTTCTTATTACTAGTGTTTGTGTGTTTGGTACTAGATGATAACTTATAGAGCGAGAATGTCTGCAAAGTCATTCCCCGATCTAATGCCTTCACTGATGAGATATTTCTGGTTTCTGTCAGTAATGGTTACATATCTGACCTTCCTTGGGATAAATGAAGGGAAAATGTGAGAGAAAACAGGGCTTTCTTGAGCCAGCTGTCATGGAGACTGCTGTGACATCAGAGGGACTCCAAATTGACTCTTTCCTTGTTATTTGCCACTTTCTGCAGCTTTACAATCTCTATAGATTTATCAGCACCTTAGAAATTACCCAGAACAGAGGGAGGTCTCAGGGAACACTCCCTAAGGAGTGCTGTTTTTTAAAGAACTATTTGGTCTTAGTGTGGCGTTCTTTAGATCAATTAATTACCAGCTGCCTTTGAGTCATGAGAGTCTTGTATCTATTTGCTTCTTTCAACAGTCCTTATCTTTGTAGGTCTGGAGAGGGGTGCAGGCATTTCTCTTTTTACTGCATTGTAAGTATAGGGAAAATTATTCAAGAGAAAAAAGATTCCCATGCCCAGGTTTGTGTCTCTGGTAGACATAAAAACCCTTATCACTGAGGTGATCTCATTTTAGTGGTCAAGAAACTGATGGTATTGTTAATTTATTTGAAACATGTCACTTTTTTTTCAGTATTTAATAGGAAGAATTTGAGAGGTTTTATTTTGAAAAGTGGTCTTAGTGTCAAACTCAGGGCCTCTCGTATGCCAAGCAATTGCTTTATAAGTGAATTAGTTTCCTAGCCTAGTAATAGGGTACAGTTAATTAAAGTTTGAACATCTAATATATTGAATTTGTGATATTAAATCACTTTTGATAGAAATCTTTCTAGTCAATTATGCACTTAATCTGCCTCCTTTCTAAACACATGGAATGAAAGTTCCATCTGTTTTTAAAAGGCTTGCTGTCATCTTCAGGCACATCATTGTGTTGTGAAAACACTGATGTTGCCCACAGGAGAGGTTTAAATGTGTGGACCAGAGGTCATAGTGAGCTGAAGCTTGAGATTTTGTATCTGTGTAGTTTCTTGATTTCTTCTTAAATATTACTCCAAATACCTTATAATTTTATTTTTGTTTAATTAATTTGGTTTTATCTGGTAAAGTCTACAATTATGATATTATCTGCATTTACTGTGCTTCCTCTGGCTGTCAGGCTCTGGGATGGTACGTTACATAATAAGTATATATAATCTTTACCATATTTTGAAGTACAGCTATGCCTAGTCACTTTTCCTATGAGCAACCAAGGCTCAGGCATGTCAAAGGACCTGATTGAGAGAACTAAGCTAGTAATGCCCATCTAGGGTATGCCCTTAAATAATAAAAACCAAATCAGTTGTGAGTATATAAAGAACAATGCCAAGCAGAGCCCTGAGCTTCTGAAGGACTAATTGACAAAGGCCTTCAACGCTGTGACTCCCATTGTGACTCTAAGGGTTTGCTGTTTCAGTAGGAAGAAGGGGCCACTCTGCAAGTGTGTATTTTCTCACAGGGACCTTAAGAAAATATTTCTTTTTTTTGTGACAGTATCTCATGGACCTAATCTTGAATCCACTAGTTAGGATGCTATCCTTGAACTCCTGGTCCTACTGTTTCCTAAGTGTTACAAATATAGACCTGTGCCACCACACCTGGCTCTACCCTGGGCTTCAATATACAGCTTTTTAAACCAGCATACTGAAAATTTTACAGCCCAAACAGCCTGATAGCAGTAGCCCCTAACAGAGTACATGTCCAGTTAGTATCTGAAATAAATGAAGATGTTTTTAAAATTACTATGCTCTTGGACTGGGCATGGTAACACACTCCTTTAATCTCAGCACTTGGAAAGTAAGGAGGATAGATTTCTCAGAGTTCAATGACAGCCCGTAAATGCAAAAAAAAAAAAAAAAAAAAAATCCCCACCCCAAATGAAGAAAGACAATGATGCCCTTCATCTAAGCAAGGAAATGGGGTGCTGGTTGTTGTTATCTGGTTCCAGACATTAGACAGAATTTGACAAGAGAAGCTGTGACAAAGAGCATTCATTGATCTTAAGTCATTTTAGTTTTGTCTGAAGAGTCTTATAACTGTGGTTTGGATCAGAGTGAAATGCCCCAATGGCTTAGGTGATGCATTGAATGACTGTCTTGGTTTCCAGCTCATTTAAGCACTTGGCTCTTAGCCATGAGCACTTGAAATAGGTGCCTTGAGTGTGTTCCCTTCAGATTCTCTTCAAAAGTTTCTGAAACTGTTGGATAATGGTTTCTATGAACACTGTTACCCTGTTTGTTTGCTTCCTTGCTTTATTATTTAGTTTCATGACTGACTCTCCTGTGGTTGCTCCTCCTATATATGAATGGGGAGGTCCAGTTTCACACTAAGATTCAATGAATCTTAACATTAACTGTTAAGATTCAATGACATAGTATAATACAGCCCCTTCTGCAGTGCCTGGCAAAGAGCAGGTGTTTAATTGGTGTTGATTGATTGCCTCAGCTGATTTGTTTTTTGAATAAGTTTCATTGTTCAAAGTGGACAGAGCCAAATGTGTGAAAATAGAACCAAACAGCCCTGAAATTATAATAAAAACTTGGCAGGACATAATTTTTTCAACTACATAATGAAAATATTTCTTTAAAATGCTTTATTTGTGCATCGTGTTTTCTACTTTTTTTCTTTCTATGATTATAAGCATTTTTGTCACCAGCTTTCTAGGGGCCCAGATAAGGATGATGGGGGTGTAGTTATGAGAATGGGGATGGATATTGTTTACTAAAGGAGGTGTGAACCCAGCATGGTGGCTTATGCATGTAATCAGGAAGATTGTCACACCTTCAAAGCCAGTCTGGGCCATATAATCAGTTCCAGGATAACATGGGCTATGTGTTACACAGTCTCTATTAAAAAACACCAAAGCAACAGCAGGGGAAAGGGGGGGCAGGGAGCTGACACCCTGTTTAGTGTTCTGTTCATTGTCTATCAGCCATCTGAGTTTTCAGCCTACCCTCCCATGATTCCCTCATAAGATAGTGACTGAGAAAGATTAATATAGTTGCTGTTCCATGAACATGAGTTTCCTTTTCAAGATCCCAGACTCTGTCCTGCATTCTCATGTTCCTAGAAGCACAGTCATGCCTCTGGGTCCTCCAGAAGCATCTGTAAAGGGCCTAATGAAAGCCATGTCTTCTTTGCTCTGTCAGGCTGGCTCCAGAGCACTATCTGCGCAAGCTCTCTGCATCACATTGCTCTTTGGACTTAG